GGACTGGGGGCTGGGGCGGGGCGCTCAAGCCTGTAATCCCAGCACTTGGCGAGGCCGAAGTGGGTGGATACGAGGTCAGGAGATCGAGACCATCTGGCTAAGCATGGGTGAAACGGGTCGGCTTACAGAATTACAAAAACGCTAGGCCGGGGCGTGGTGGCGGGCACCTGATAGGTCCGTCTCGGAGGTGAGGCGGGGAATGCGTGACCCGGGAGGCGGAGCTTGCAGTGAGCCGAGATCGCGCCACTGCACTCCAGGGCCTGGGCGACACGCGAGACTCGCGTGCCTGCAAAAAAAAAGAAGAAAAGAAAAAAAGACTGGGGGATGACCATGAGCAATGAGTTCGTTAAATCCGCAAGTACGGTACCTTGTTGGTTGGGTGGGGTATTTCGGCTTTTTTCCACCACCAACTAAAGCTAAATAGTGCAGCGAGAAGTAACATTTCAACATGGCAGAACTGCCTCGCTTCAGAAATTCTGAATGATGTTTAAAAGGACGAGAATGTTACAGGAGGTTAAATGCATATTTTCAATAAAAAAGAAAGAGAAAGTCAATACAGGTAACGTGGTTTTTTTTTTTTTGTAAGAGAAATGATCTCACGTGGTGTTGCCCAGGCTGGAGTGCAAGGGTAGGCGTGCTTAGCAGGTACGAATCACAGCTCACTGCAAGCCTTCACTCCTGTCACATGATCTCCCTGCGCTCAGTCGCATCGCATCCCAAGCGAAGCGGGAATAGGGATTTTTTTGTTTTTTGTTTGAGACAGCGGTCTTGCGTCTGGTCGCCAGGCTGGAGGTGCAGTGGGCCGATCTCAGCTCATGCAGGCTCCGCCTCCCGGGTTTAGGCCAGTTTCCTGGGCTCAGCCTCCCAAGTCAGCTGGGGCACTCAGCGGCCGCCACCACGCGCCGGCTAGTTTGCATTTTTTGAGGGAGGATGAGGTTTCACGTGTTAGCAGGATGGTCGTCGATCTCCTGAACCTCATGGATCGGAGCCGGCGCCGGGGCCGGGACTTTTTGTTTTGAGATGGAGTCTTGCTTGTCACCCAGCCAGATGTGTGGCGAGCGATCTCAGCTCCTGCAACTGCACCTCCTGGGTTGAACCCACCTCTCCTGCGCCAGGCCCTCCCCAGGTCGTGGGACTAACGGCAGCAGCCACCATGCCAGCTAATTTTTGTTATTTTTAGTAGAGATGGTTTCAGCCGCATGTGGGCGGCTTATCTCAAAACTCCTGACCTCAGTGATCCACTGCCTTGGCCTCCCAAAGTGCTGGATTTAAGAATGAGCCACCGTGGCCTTGGCCTACAGAACTTGATTTTTTTTTTTTTGAGGCGGGGAGCTGCTGCGGTCGCCAGGCTGGAGGTGCTGGCGGATCTCAGCTCATGCAAGCTCCGCCTCCGGGTTTGTAGGGCCATTCTCCTGCGCAGAGTCTCCAGAGTAGCTGGGACTACAGCGCCCGTCTCTTCGCCGTTAGTTTGTTTGTATGTTGCTTGTAGGTAGAGGGCGCGTGGGTTTATCCGTGTGCGCCTCAGGATGGTCTCGAGTTCCGTGAACGTCTGTTGTGAGTCCGGCCGCATCTCGGGCCTGCCTCAAAGTGCTGGGATTACAGGCTTGGCCACCGCGCTCGCGGGCCTCAGAACTATTTTTAATCAGCCATTTAGATGCGGTAGACATTGGATCATGTCAGGAGGATGGAGAAAGGTGGCTGGGGCTAATAAAATGGTGCTTAGGTTTTCCAACTGTCGCGGTCAGCTTACGTGTTCACAGTGTTACCTCGTGATCCGCCCATCTCGGCCTCCCAAAGTGCTGGGATTACAGGCTTGAGCCACCGCGCCCGGCCTACAGAACTCATTTTTAATCAGCAATTTATATCTAACTATCATCAGAAATGAGAAAGGTGACTGGCTAAAAAAATAGTGCTAGGTTTCCAACTTCTCTCAGCTTACTGTCATCATGTTCACTGTTTCATAAAGGCTGAGCACACAACACCCCAGGAAGCTAACTCAGAAAAATGTGTGAAATACTTGAATCCACATTTCAAGAGATGGCAAAACCCGTAAAACTCCAAGAAAGCATCCTAAACCTGTAAACTCCAAGGAAGCATCCTAAACCCGTAAACTCCAAGGAAGCACACTAAAAGCTTTACTGCTCAGGAGGCTGAGCAGGCAGATCAGCCTGGTCAAGAAAGAGACCATCCGGGCCAACATGGTGAAACACTGTCTTTACTAAAAATACAAAAATTAGCTGGGCATGGTGGCGGGCGCCTGTAGTCCCAGCTACTCAGGCAGGCCTACAGGCAGGAGAATGACCTGGACCCAGGAGGCTGAGGGTGCGCGTGAGCTGAGATCACACCCACTGCACTCCAGCTTGGTGACAGAGACCTCATCTCAAAAAAAAAAAGAAAAACTTTAATGCTGGTGATTTTTATCATTTCTTTCTTTCTTTTTTTTTTTTTTTAGAAACGAGGTCGGCGGGCCGGTGGCTCAGCCTGTAATCCCAGCACTTTGGGAGGCCGAGATGGCGGATCACGAGTCAGGAGATCGAGACCATCCCTGGCTAACACGGGTGAAACCCCGTCTCTACTAAAATACAAAAAACTAGCCGGGCGAGGTGGCGGGCGCCTGTGTCCCAGCTACTCGGGAGGCTGAGGCAGGAGAATGGCGTGAACCCGGGAGGCGGAGCTTGCAGTGAGCTGAGATCCGGCCACTGTACTCCAGCCTGGGCGGCAGAGCAAGACTCCGCCTCAAAAAAAAAAAAAAAAAAAGAAACAGGGTCTTGCTATATTGCTCAGGCTGGAATGCAGTGAAGTGATCATAACTCACTACAGCCTCAAACTCCTGGGCTCAAGGACCCCTCCTGCCTCAGGCTC